CTGTCTTTCTTAACTGCCTACCTACACAACTCCCAATGTGCCTGACCAGTACAGAATAGAGAATTTTCAACCCACCCTAAGAAGTTACAAAGATTACATGATTCCTATCCCACTTCTCCCTGAAGCAATCATTGCTCCAGGTGAATTTCAATTGAATTCCTTTTGGGCTGAAAGGAAATTTATAGAAAGGAAATGAATCTTAAGAACAGGGACATTGGGATTTGGGTGTTGCTTTTGCCTGTCTCATGCATAGTAGAATGGATGGCTTCAATAGCATGTCCAAGACTGTGGACTGTTGACTCATTTGAGGTAGCAGTCTGGAGAGAGAGAGCATGCTCTGGTTGGTTGTGGTAGGCACTGGTTCCTCTTTCACACAACTGTAGGGAGTGTGAGCGGTATGGACCTACTCCTAACATTGGCAAGAGCCAGAACAAAAAGATAAATAGAAGCGAAGGTCCACAGCCCATTAGTTCTCCCTCCTCTTCTCCCTCCTTGCTCCCTCCTCCTTCCACTCTGCATAGCATGTAAGAACTCTTGTGTGAACCTGCGTTAGCACATCCCTAGCCATCCTCACTCCCCCACCCTCCATCACTCATACAAACAGCCACCCCTCAGCCTCCCCTCCCTCCTAAGGATGCATAAACTCAGCAGTGTGCTCTGTCTCTGGAGGATGAACTCAGCAAAGGTCCACCAACGCCTTGTAAATAGACTCAGAGACATTTGGATGGAGAGTCATGGGGTCTTAGGTGCTGGAAAATAACCTAGAAGTGGGGGCCTCCTTGCCCTTCAGAGGGGCATGGCTGGAGGAATAGGGGCAGAATAGGGTTCTCTAATGATGAAACACAGACCCTGGTTGCTTAGATCGAAGTGCAGTACCAGAGAGGACCAGCCTAAGAGTGAGCCCTTCGTCATTCTGTGTGGCAGTGCCCTGCCCCTTCCCAATTTTTCCAGTGATCTCAAAATGCACATGAATCCCTGATAAGACAAACTTACTCTCTTCTTCCTGCTGCTGCTAGGACTTCCACCCTGCTGCTGCAGTTCTCCTGATTGCCTCCTTTTTGTTTAAAGAGCCTGCTCTCTGCTGTTTCTCAGCTATCATACTTGTCATTGGAGCAGAATGTCTGGAGCACCCCCTCTCCATATGACTCTGGCCACTTTAGATGTGTGTCTGTCTGTGTGCATGCTCGTGCAGTTGACAAGAAGTGGAGGGCAGGGGGCTTGCAGTGAAGCAACTGCTCCTTCCTGCCTACAGCTCAGCCCCCTCACCTGTAGGACTTGCAGCTTCCTTATCTGAAGTTAGGTGCCCCAGGTTCTGCACTCATCCCATTCTCTCCAGATCCCTGGTGCTTTCCACACTAGGTGGGCTGTATTACCATATCTCACCTATCAGCCTCCAAGCCTTGCTTAATTTTCTCCATATGTGTGCTGCCCATTTTCTACCCCTTCATCAGGTGCCCCGCTCCCACATTCAATGAACACAGTCACTCTCAACTGAAGTCACCTTATTCTTTTTAGGGGCACATATTAAACCACCCTCAACTATTCCAATCTTCCTCCCCACACATCCATCATCCATCCTGGAGAAAGGAGGTCATTACTGACTTAGAAACATGATCAGAGAAAGCACCTGCTCCCTATCCCATAGCATGGAACAATTATGGGCAAGTGCTCAGAGGACAAATGTCAAACACATCAGCATAACAAACAGTATCAAGATGCCTCTCTTGCCTTCTTTACATTTTACCCGCCTCTGGAAAGTTTAAGTTGAAAAATCTTCAGGGTACCGTGTATTCCTTGACTATTTCTTCAAGGACTTTTCTGGCATTTTAAAGATTTGGAGACAAATGGATGGGCAAGCTGGGAAGATGGCCTGTAGCCAAGAGTCATTTTACCTGGACCCTTAAAGAAATGAAAGGTAGCTAGCACTACCCAACCATAGGGCAGGGTTTTGATTACAAGTGAAGTTACTAGATCAAACCTCAATGTTTGGAACATTAGATAGGCTATTGGGCTGAGGAATGGAGCCATAGCAAATGCTAGTATTCTCCCTGTCTCCTTCTCTCTTTCTCTGTCTTGCACGCTCGCACGCGCGTGCGCGCACGCACACACACACACACACACACACACACACACACAATTTTGAAATTTTATTCATTGAACTCAAATCCATCAAGGTTTGAATGAGTGGACAGAAGCCAATTTTAAAAAGTCTTTAATCCTTGGGAACCCAAGTATTTATTCTCAATTCACTGATGACATGATCTAGCCAAAAAATAATTCTCTTCCCAAGCAAATACATGCCCAGAGACATATATTTTAAATAGAGATCCCAGGAAGTCTCATAGGAGAAAGGGAAGCTACACTGCTTTGCTACCTGCTTCCCTAATCCATCATCTGACATTTTGACCTTGAAGTCTTTGACCACCACTCTTCCTCAGCCTCACATGTCCCATCTACCTTCTCAACCTCCCCCTCATTCTGCCTAAATTATATCCATATTTCCAGGCCCATCTCAAATGCTATTTTGACCAAGAAGTCTCTGACCCTCCCCTCCTTTTCCCACTGCACTTTGTTTTAGCCTTACAATGACCTCCAATTAATTGTGCCCTGTCTTATATCATATCACTGGCTGTCTGTCTTTCTGAATGTGGAAGTCAGAAATGTGTCTGTTCATGTGCATGAGCTCAGCCCCCAACACAGAGTCTTCTACAAAATAGGCATACAAAGGGTCACTGTAGATTTCAATGGATTTGACCACTTCCTTGTCTACTCTTGTGTCCTTGTGTGGAAAGAAGTCATGGTCTTTGGTTCCTTTTGCCATTTTCTTAGAAGCCTTCAACTTTGGGTTTGGACAGGTGACAGTGGTTACAGAATTTTTCATGAAGACCTTGCCCTCTCGTCCCTTTTCTTCTCTTTTTCTAGTCTCCACAGCAGTAGGAGCACACTCTTTAATGTACTTTCCTGAGAATTATAAGCTACCCACACATAATTTTATTGTCAAAACTATAATATTAAGTTACTATAATAAGAATCTTTCAGTAAGAGTCTAAAATCAGTGTTGTGCATGTCTATGCTACTATTTATCATTTCCTACATTGATTTTCCCCTGTATTTGTATTTTAGAGATGAAGGGAGCTTCTGTTTCAATCTTTTTAGCCTGATTACTATTCCATACTATTATTGATAGATCCTTTTTCTAAAGAACAAAGGTTTACTTAATGGCTTTGAAACAGAAGAACTATTCTGTATTCAAAAAGAGTTAACTTCGTAATACTTCTCAGAATTGAGATGGGCAGTTTTGGTTTTTGTGGCAAAGAATATGAATGTTTAGCAATTCCACTGTGTTGTGTTACAGAAAGTGGGACAGGGATGATCTCATATTTTAAGCCTTAAATTCCAGACACTATAGGAATTTTTCAACAAAATTATAATTGAAGAGGCTATTTAAACAGACATGTTTTTCTAATGATTATTTATTGTATTAGAATGACCATCCCAGGAGGTGCTTGCATTAACAGCTTCTTGATCCCAAAACAACTTGCCAAGGAGAACAGTAGCACCTCTATCAGTCCCAGCAGATGGGCAGGTAGACTGATGCTTGATTTCAGTTCTCAGAATAGCCTCAAGAAAGGACACTGTGAGGATTTTAGCATCTTAAACTGCTACAATAACAGAGTTGCCATGAGCAACAAAAGTTGCTCCTCAGAGACAACCCCACTGACTGTCTGGAAGTTGAGAAAGAATTTATCATGCATGCTCAATGAGCAATACACTCTTTAAAATAAATACACATTGTTAAGGTAATCTCCTATATCTTACCTTCTCGTGTGAATGCTGTGAGCAATAAATAATCTCACACCTGAAATTATGATAAGCCCCTCAGAGCAGCCTCTTCAATCCACTTGTTCCTTTAGGATAAAGATTTTACTTTGGTCTTCCATTCTCCTTCCCATCCCACACATTCTCTTGAATGATCCAACACCAGCTTCTAGGAATCTAACATCTGGTCTGCAGTAAGCCCTGCACATTTCTACAGCATTTCTTGCTCTTTTAATCCAACATGAAATCTGAATCATCCCTCTACTTCCTGATCCAGAGTCTCCATCAACGTGGCATTCCAATTCCCAGAGTGAGGAAGGAAGGGCTGTAGAACCCTCCCTTCAACCCTAGATACCAGGAGGGCTTTTCAAGATGCTCCTGAGAACAGCTCACCTGCAGTGACTGACTAGAGAGAATGGTGTCTCCAGGAACCCAGAATGTTCTCCAGAGAAACTAGAGCACCCAGGGAATTAGGCTTTCCAGGGAATGTTGAATTTGAGTTCCCTTTTTCCTTCACTGTCTGTAGACTAAATAAACTTCCCCTTTCAGCTCTTCCAGTTGCACTTCTGTTTCCCACAGAGCAAAGATCCACTCTCCAGTGGATCTTTCATCTAAACTGAGGACAGGTGTTTTGCCCCTGGTGACAGCTGATCACAGAAGTCAGGCCCTTCCAGCAAGGCTCAGCTTGAGCCTGCTTGCTCTGTCTGGCTGCCCTGGAGTGCCTTTCCCTCATCATTTCTCCTGGGAAGGGTCAACAGGGTCACTCGATTTCCCCAAACTCAAGCCTCCCAGGGCAGCCACACAGCAAGTAAGCCTTTGCAGTCTTAAGAGTCAAAGCTCAAAACAAAAGTTTCCTGGGTGGCTCTCCTGGCTACATGCATCTTAAGGGCCCCATCAAGAATGTCATAAAATAGCTGAAATAAGTGCCCAGTTGTTCGCACATGATTTGGCTGATCCTCACTCCCTATTGCCCCAATTTCTCTACTTCCTTGCTGCCTCTCCACTTCTGGGCACCCACACCCTGTACAACGGGAGCAGCATTAGGAGAGGACTCTGCTTTGGGGTACGAGGGGAGCCAAGCCTCGAGCTCCGGTCCAGAGGGCTGATCTTCACTCCTTTGCCTGCTTCCTTTCTTCACCTGATTTCACATTTCTCCACAGAAGTGCCTCCAGCTTTTCCACTAGCCGCTGCTCCATGGGTCTCCACATCCCTTTCCCACCTAATTCTTGATCCAGAGTCCCTCCGCTTTTCCTCCAGTAAGCGATTCCCTTGCTTCCCTGCCTCGAAGGCAGCCTTGCTGTTCCACGTGTACCAGGAGTCTTAGTCCACATCAGTAGGCTGAGCTGCTGGGCAGCAGGTCGTAGCGTCCCCCACTGTAGACCACTACACCAGGCGGATAGTACAGCACGTCAGGTTCAGCAGCTGCGTGGAGTGGCGCCAGAGCCTGCAGCCGGTGATCCTCTGGCTCTGGCTTAGTGGTAGCTGTGAAAGGGCGCATGCTGGTGAGCGAAGGTGACGTGATACGCCACAGCAGGTTCTTGAGCGCCTTGCGGAACTCGCGGCGCACTAGGCAGTAGAGTATTGGGTTGAGGCAGCTGTTGGAATGCGCCAGACACACGCTCACCGGGAACGCGTACACCTGGCACAAGAAATACTCCTGGCTGAAGGGTACCACGTTGAACTTGATGAGGATACTCCATATGGTGAGCGCCTGGTTAGGCAGCCAACACAGGAAGAAAGATAAGACCACGATGGTCACTGATTTGGTGACCTTGGACCGTCTCCTAGCGCTAGCTCCAGACAGGCTTCCCCCAGCAGCTGCTGTCCCTACTTCGGTCCCCACCACGCAGCGGTCTGAGATGAAGCGCACCAGCAGCAGGTAGCACAGGCTGATGATGCCTAGGGGCAGCACAAAGCCTAGCAGCACTTTCTGCAAATGGTACAGGCCAAGCCAGAACTGCCTGTCGCCACCCAGCAACTTGTCAGGGAAGCGCACCAGGCACAGCTCCTCACCCATCACCTTGATGGTGGTGGAGAAAATGGCATTGGGCAGCGAGGCCAGAGCAGCCGAAGCCCAGATCAACACACACAGAGCTTTGGCTGAGAAGCAGCAGCTGTTCCCCAGGCTCTGGCCACAACAGTTGCCATGGCCGTGCCCTCGGGTCCGGTGGCTCTTAAGGGATGATGCCACAGAATGGTAGCGCGCCACACTCATGGCAGTGAGGAAAAAGACGCTAGCATACATGTTCATAGAGGTGACAATAGACACGATCTTACACATGGCCTTACCGAAGGGCCACTTGAAGTCCAGGGCGTTCTCCACCGCCCAGAAGGGCAGAGTGAGCACGAATTGAAAGTCCGTCAGCGCCAGGTTGGTAACGAAGAGGTTGATGGAGGATTTGCGCCAGCCCTGTTTGCTCTTCATCAGGTAGAGCACAAGGAGGTTGCCCGCCAGCCCCAGTGCGCAAACCACCCAATACACAGCACTGATGAGGATCCGCACCCGGGCCTCTGCATCCGAGCTCTCTGCCCCACTGCTGCTGGGTGGATACCCTGGCGCCGCTCCGTCCGGCAACTCCAGCCCCAGCTCCCACAAATCCTGAAGCTGCAGCGAGGCGTTGCCACTCGTGTTGGCCGCCTCCAGGAGGCCTGGGATCAGACTGAAGAGGTCTGCGAGCTCGTCACCTCCAGCCGCCTTATTCATGGTGGCTTTCGTGGTTGTTTCAACCACCTGTATGAGCAGATACCCCTAGTTCATATTCCAGTGCGTGCGTTAAGAACTAAGGAAGCACGGTTCGCCCGCGGTGTGATCTCCAGGCGAACAGGTGAGGTGTGCGCGGGAGCTTTCAAAATAGCCGCTGAAGATAGAGCCTACGAACTGGTTGCGGATGGCGTCCGGTGCGCGCGACCCACAGCTCTGGGCACCGGAGTTGAGCTCAGCGTCTGCTTTAGATGCTCCAAAGAGGAACGCAGCTCTCCAGGAAAGCGACCTGCGTCCAAGGTTTCTCGGTCTCAGGTTGGAGTTTCCCGAGTCCCTAGTATGTACGCACCTGAGACTTTCCTCCTCCTTTGCCACTGTCACTTGGACACTGGCGCAAACCCTTCTGGCTGCTCAGGAGCGCGATTCTGGGCCGGTTCCTTTCCTTTCCAGTACCTTTGTTGGTTTTCTCTGCTGCTCGGACGAGGTTTCCGTCCTTTTAAGGAAAAGTGGAGAACGTGAAGTCACGTCTACCTACTTCTTACTGCTTGGAGATCTGTAGGTGTTGTATCCGCTATCGGTAATTCCCAGTGAGTTACCAGAGTTGCTTACCCGAGTTATATTCCCACCCACAAAGCCGCGGCAGCCGGCCCCAAGGAGCATGCGTAACCCCCTACGCCAAGAGAGGGGGCGCTTTCCGAGGTGCTGAACCCCGCCGCATGTGCGGCTGGGGAGGAGGAGGGACCGGCCAAAGGAGGAGGCCACTGGCAACTTCCCTTTTGCTCTTAAAGTTTCAGAAGGAAATGGTCCTAACCCTTTATTCCGCTGTGTTGCGAGAACGCTCATTTTAATTTGTTTCTTCCTCCTAATCAACTATGATCAGAAGGGTTTTTTTCTTCCTTCTTGATCACTCTGCTTTTTCACTGAAATTATGCCATTTGATAAAGGCTGGTTCTAAAAATGTGCCGTCTTCTAAAAATTCTAAAAATTGCCTTCTTCTCTTTTAAAAGTAAGGATAGTGATCTCTTTTCATGCCTAAATCAGAAGGTAGATACTTACTGAATGCACAGAACAAGCTCCGCCCTTCTTTAATTAGCTGACCACTTAACTGTGACAGGATTTTCAAAAGGTCTCCACCAAGAGGAAATCAGGCACAAGTGTTGCCCGTACTTTGGTGTATTCTGAGAAATGAAACTAAACTGAGCATATAATTGGTTGCCCACTTCGTGTATTTTAAAATACCACCTGTCTAGCCCTGAGTCAGAAACCTCTCAACTAATTGGTCACATATGCCTCCAACTCCTTTTATCTAGATGCAGATAAGATAGGGGATAATCTCGAGTTGATTGTGGGCTACTCACTTCCCTATTTCCACTACTGTTAAAATCACAACTCTTTATCAGATGTTTTTCAGACCAATGGCAGTAAATTCTAAGGACTTGTGCCTTGGAGTTTCTTCTCAAGTTGTGATTTATTGAAATATCAGGTCAACTGCTCTGATGTGAATTATACTTTTAAGAAAAGACTCAAAGAATTTGGAATGCTTTCTTCACCTTCAGGAAATAAACTGAAATCACAGTATCTTAAGCATGCAGCAATTGTCTTCATTCCTAAAGTAATGCAGAACTCCAGACTTTATTTACAAGATTAAATAATCTTAAAGCAGAGGAGTTTTAAAAGAATGCTTAGTGAAACAGAAATGCAATACGCAAAACAGGAAAGGAAACAATCTTGAATCCAAAGCCGGAATGAAGTTCTTTCCAAGAGAACGCACTTCACTCTAAAAACTGACTGCTCTGGTCTTTCCTCCAGAGGGCGCTAGGGCTCCAGTAAAAACCAAACCAAAGAGCCTCCTTTTGATCAGCTTGTATCTGAAGACGAGCCCTGCCCTGATTAGTCCTCCCAATCCAAGAGTTGCTTCTGCTTACACCTCTTATCCCTATGCTAAAAGCCTCACCTTCACTTTCACTTTTTAAAAATTAATTATTTCTCTATCAAAATTAATCTCTTTGGCTCAGTGAGTTTTGAATCAGTGGTGGAGCACTAGCCTTGCACATGAGGCACTGGGTTTTATCCTCAGCGCAGCATAAAAATAAATAAATAAATAAAGGTATTGTGACCATTAAAAAAAGTCTATTTTTTTATTTCAATGAGCTATTGAAAATCAAGGAAGCCTAGGGCTCACACAGACAGCCATTTATCTGTGGGATTTAACCAATGTTCCCTAACTCTCTCACATACTACTTCATTCTTTCAGTGCTTCTAACCCCATCCCAGAACATATATACTTGATCTTCCCGAAATCACATGAAGTATTCACACTTTGTGAAGAATATTACAGAAAGTTGATTCAATTCATCTCAAACTCACTGGCCAATTAGCTTGGCACTAAGGTAGGCTGAGAGAAACATTATGACATAAAACCTCTATTTTGATCCTTTCTGGAACTGTTCATCTAAATGAGTGTGCAATTTAGTAGTGTCTGTGACTCTTTTTTTGTTTAGTCTTGCATATGACTTAGGTATCTAGAATGTAATGCTTTGTGTCAGATGCAGGGACAATAATTTTAGTTACTTCACTTTCCCCTTTTGTTTTTAAGGAGTGGGTTTTTAATAAGTAGTTATACTGTACTTAGATTGGCTGTTCCAGTTTTAGATTTGTTTGTTTGTTTTTATATCAAGGCTACTCTATGTTTGCATTTGAGAAAAACATAAAGGCAGAAGCATTCAGGGTTTGTTATGTTGCAAACAGTCTGTTTATCTGTAATACTTCTTCCTGAAATTGACATTAGAATGTAACGGGGACTGGAGAAAAATCTTGTTGGCAACAAAAAGCTCTTTATCCTTCACAGTGGAAGGATGGAGTCTTTTCCTGGGCTGCTTTGAATATCTGAAGCCACATGGCCATGTGAAGTTAGGAGTGAGGACAGCGTAAAAGCATAGTCAAGCACATAACTGCTGGGAACCCATCATCATAGAATGCAGGAAATCATAGGCTTGAGCCCTGGCATTTTGCAGAGGAGGCCTGAAGAGATGAAGGGATTTACTCAGCATCTCACTGCTAGGAAGTAATCACACTAGGTCTAAACCATATATTTCTTGACTCTGATGTGACATCTTTTGGTCCATGCTTTATTTTCCAACTCGGCTCTAACACTTTTATAATTTTCAACACAATAATGGCTTCCAACATGTCCATATTCTAATCCCTGGGTCCTTTGGATATTTCTTTACATAGACCAAAGAGTTTTTCAGTGTGATTAAAATAAAGTTCCTGAGGTGTGGAATATGGTCATGGGTTGTGCATATGGGCCCCATACATTCACAAGAGTTCAGGTAAGAGGGAGGCAAGAGGAATCAGAGGAGAAAGTGGTGTGATACAGAAGCAGAGACTGGAGTGATACTCTCTGAAGATGTAAGATAACAAGCCAAGAATACAGGCAGCCATTGGAAACTGACAAAAGCAAAGAGATGAGTCTCCCCTGGACCCTCAAGAAATGATCTGCTCTGGTGACACCCTGACTTTATTCCATTGAAACTGAGCTGGGATCTCTGATCCCTAGAACTGTGAGAGGATAAATTTGTCTTATTTTGAACCACTGCATATGGACAGATTTGTTACAGCAGCAATAGAAAACCCATACAAGTACATAAAAGCCTGGTTTGAACATTTTATAAGGAGAAATTGAGCAATTCTGAATTAAACATGTTGCTTCATTTTGTTCACTCATTTAATACATAAATATTGAGCACCAACTTTGTGCTAGGTACTA